TTTAACATCTTGAATATTAATTTTTATCTGTGCAAAATGCAGAAACTATACTATTTAAAATATTCACAAACATTTTTTAGTTATTTACATGCCAATGAAGGCCTTTTTTGTAGTACAGTTTAAGTCATGCCGTTAAATCTGTTCAGTACCTATTGTCTTCAATTGCTATGGAAACATGCTTCATGATCCTTAATCCCAGTTGATAAGTGTAAAGGAAGAGGAGCCGCAAAATCTCAACTTATACTCACTATATTTTTCTTTGAAAAACATCATGTGAGTTCTACAAAGGTAATTAATTCTTATTTCTGTTTAGTACATTTGGAGATGATGTAAATGGTATTTGGCCAAAAGATGCAAAAAAAGATCATATTAATTGTGCTCATGCTGTATCATCAACAATTGTGACTGGTGATGATAATGGAGCTGTTAATTTATTTAAATTTCCATGTCCAGAACCTGGAGTAAAGAATTTTTTCTTTTCATAATAATTTATTATTTTAATTGATAAATTATTTCTAGGCGGAACGTAAAACATTTTATGGTCATTCAGATAATGTAACAAATGTTCGATTTCTTTCTAATGAAAGATATTTAGTTAGTTTAGGTGGAGATGATTGTTGGTAAGTTTTATTTTATTTTATAGAAAATATTTCTCTTATTTGATTTCTTATAGTATCTTTGTATGGAAATGTATTGCTAAAGCAAATAGTGATGATCATGATGATGATTAATTAATATGTTTAAATATAAACTAACATATCTGTTTAGTTATGTCTAACATGTTTAGCTGCTTTCTCCTTGCAATTATTTGTGCTTACTGTAATAATATTATGTTTTAGATTTAAAAAAAAAACTTAATGAATCATATTGAAGATTCATCTATTGTATCTAATTATCAATTTCCACGTTGGTCAACAACACTATCTCGATCACAATCAAATTTACAATCAAAAGATACCGTTAATGATATGTTTCAATTAGGTATTGATAATCGAAATCCATTTCAAAAATCTGAATCATCAACAACAAAACGAATAATTCATCATCATGTACGTATTCCAACAACTTCAAGATATATTTCACCTTCACCTATTGATCAATTAAATTCAACATCTGATCATAATACAACATTAGATCGTTCAACACCAACATCAATAAATTCACGTTATTATCATAATCGTTCAATACCTATACGAATGAAATCAACAGCTTTAACAATTCCAATATCAAAATCTAAAGAAGAACAATCATTTCAAAATTTTCCAAAACAAACTCATGAAAAACGAAAAATAACACATGAAAGAAAACGAAAAAAACAACAAGCACGAACATTAGCTGAAAAATATTCAGATACAGAAACATGGTTTCAATTACGACGATCATTAGCTGAACTTAAACATCTTGCAACAACACAAGAAATTCTTGTTGATCCAAGTACATCAATTTTTAATTGTGATGGACATTCATTTTCAACACTTAAACAAATTATCGCTCAACAACAAGAAGATAAAAAAGTAGCTTTATTGAAATCGGAATCAGGTACAAATTCTTTTTATTCATGTTTAATTTTTTTTTTGTTGTTGTTAAAGAGAAGCAAAAGTATTGTTTAGCTATTAAAAAATTAAAACTACCCAGGTCCATCAATCCGATACCGGATCTCATAGGATCTTGTAAGATCCGACCAGCCGACAAAATCCTACAGGAATCCGTGGAACGGAATCACGTCGGATTCCCGTCGGATGAATCTTAATTGCTGCAAATTTTATTAGCATTCATTTTATCAGTACTAGATAACGATCTTGGGATACTATCGGATCCAACTGTCGGATCTCTTATAGGATCCGATCGGATCCGACTACTGACGGGACCCGACGTGATTCCGTTTCACGGATTCCTGTCGGATCTGATACTATCCTATCGGATACCTGTAGGACACCTATCGGATCCGACTATCGGATTGATCGACCTGGGTATGTAATGTAGATTGAGGTGAACAAGATCAGCCTTTTGTTTTCGATCTGGAAGAGGTTTAGATTTGGTATCAAGTTTAGCGGAAAAAAAAACAAAATTGATCAGTATAAATTCTTAACTATTGTCTATAAGTTTGAAACAAATTGTTCATTCGCTCGTGTCTAGTTCTAATAAAACATTTTTCTTATGATCAATAATGGTTACATATTCGATTGAAACGCATATAATTTCATAGTGATTTGTACAAAATAGTTTATAATTTAAAATAGAATTGTGTCAAGCCATCAATAACTATTTACATCTATCTATTCGTGATTGCAATGCAAATTACTATTTAAAGAAAAAATAAACAAAATTATTTAACTTGTTCATGTCTAATATTGAATCTTATGTAAAGAATTCTTCATTGAAATAGGTTTATCATCATCATCATTTGGTTCAGCTTTATCTTCTCGTGATTTAAATCGAGGAAGTGCAACAACATCTTATAGTTCATTTTCTCGTCCTCGAACAACAAAACGACCAACACAAACTTATCCACGATTAATTTTCGAACCATTCGTTATTGCATCAAAACCAATACATACTTCTCTTATTACTGATAGTAATAATTCAACATCAAAACCAAAAATAAAATCACCTGTATCAAGATCAACTCGTTCTCGTCCTAATTCTACTATAGCACTTATTTCTGATAAAAGACGTTCTCAATTAGTTCTATCTGATCTTTCTAATTATGATAATCCTCCAACATCATTAACATCATCTCCACCTCTATTCAAAAGTGAACAAGATATTATTCCTCGTAAATTCTTACCATCATCATCATCATCATCAATTCGTCAAAGACCTCCATCAAGTTTTCAATTAACTTCAACAATAAAATTAAAACCTCAACCACCTCGTTGTCGTAGTGCTACTGATATAAAATCTTCATATTCAATAAATAAAAATTATCCACGTTTTATATTAATTGCTGATGAAGAACATCGTATTGAAAGTTGGTATCATCAATATCCATTTATACTTGGTGATGATCTTTTAACATTATTTGAATCTAAACAATTACAACAAAAATCTATAATATCAGCTTATTTTATTGATGATTTACAATTATCAAAAGGAAATATAACAGCTAAAACATTTTTACAAGGTAAACCATTTCATATAAATAATGATTGGAAAAAATATGATTTAATTTTTATATCAAATAATATTTATCAACAAATTATTATTTGTTTACAAACAATTATTAATTTACTTCAAACATCAGGAAAAATTATTAAAATTTATCAAATTAATCATGAAGAAGATTTAAAAAAACAAGTCAAAAATATATGTAAACAATTACAACAAGAAAATATATAAAAAAATTTTTATATACATTTCTAAATTTTCTTTCATTTCACCATGTGATCACATTTGTTTGTTTTAGTTATTGAAATATTTTCATAGACATTTATATAGAGAAAATAAAAAGAAATAAACAAGCAAATTTAATTATGAATTTTGGAAAGGAAATATTTTTATAAAGAAACGATTTATCTCTATTGATAGATAATTAATATCAATACTATTTCGGTTTGAAAAACGGCAATCAACTAATTTTTTTTTTGTTTTTTAGTCCATAGTAATGAACTGGAGGTACGTAAATAATATTATTTATTAATTGTAGTTTGATTTTGCCTTATTCAGTGAACAATACATTAAATTATGTGTTCATGATTGAACTTACTGTAGAATCTTAACTGGTTGTTATTGTTAGCGACGACTATAATGTTACAAAATATTGGCGTATTTTTCTCTTTTCTTTTTATTTATAAAAAATTTCTCTTATAAAAATATGAACTTTTGTATTTTATCATAATTGGAATTATTATGATACCTTATTAATTTGATCTGGTATTATCCATCTATTTATAATACAATTGAATTCAGCGTCTTGAGAAACTTTGTACTATTACATAGTAACATAACCAGAAAAAAGTTGTGGTGGTGGAAAAGGAAGGGTTAGCGCTGTCTAGCTTCCATCAGGTTACGCCACGACTATTAACGGGTAATCGAAAAGTAATTTGAAAACATTGGATTCAAATCAGAATTTTGCGTTCTTTTCGAATATTGATTCAAAATTTTTGTAGAACTTCTATTTTAGTCGTTATGAACCAACTTGTTAGAAGTCTGTCAATTGAGTTTGCACAAACTTGAGTGCGTCAAGACTTAATTATTTAAGAGCAAATATTTCTTTAGAAAATGGTATACTAATGATTACTGTGCTGCAAATTATTTGTCAATAGTAGATTGCATCGGATTGATCCTGACCCTGACAGACTCTGATCGTCTAAGAAATGTGTACGATGCGCTAATCACTGAATACAAAAAACTTGGAAAAAAGTCTCTCGTATCGTCGGGGCGGCTACAGAATTACGATTAGAAAATTTAATTGAGAATATCAAAGTGCGGTCCGAAAATTTTGGATCCAATGGCTGTAGTCAACAGTAAGTGTTTTATTCAAGGGCATTGTGTCTTGTTAGGCAATTCTCTCAATTTCTATGGAAAATAGATTTACAAAGTAAGCTCAGTCATTCCTGAATGATTGTTTTGAAACTTTTGATTTTTATATCACTTTATAGCGAGCAGTCTTAAATGTAAATTTAGTTAACAAGTAGATCATGTATCCTAAAAGATTATTCTTGAACTGAATATTTCATTCATATTAGACAATATCAATTGGTTTAATTAATAGGGAAAAAAAAGCTATGCTATTTTTTTATCGCCATGGTGATTCTCCTTGCATGATGTTGAAAGTAATTCATTTGTAGTCTTGCAATACTTTATTATTTCTGTCGATTAGTATATTAAATTGTTTCTTTTTTATCATTAGAATTTATTTGAAAAAAAAAATTTATTAAAGTATTTTTAAGCGTGAGTTGTTGACAATGTGATCAATAAAAATAAGAATACGAGCAATTATATGAAGGTCGGTGATTGTGTTTATACAACCCATCACAAGATTTGTCCTTCAATTGATTTTATTCTAATCGAATATTTATTTATTTTTTTAATTATCTTTTATTCCAGTTCTTCTACCTGTTACAAAAGCTTGTTGATCATCAGTTTCAATAGTATTTACATTTGTTGAATTTTCACGATCATTTGTTATTGATTGAAATTTAAAATCTTCCATTTTTAATAGATTTGATTTTGCATAAAGAAATATTGAAAATAATGCTAATGTTATACCAAATGGTGACATTGGCAATGCTAACTTATATGATGCTGTTGTTACATATGACCAAAATAAAATAAATACAAGTGTATAACCAAATAGAATATAAACAGTATATATTCGAACTGCACGATTACATTTAGATTCAGCAAGATTAATATTTGCCTGAAGTTGAATATAACGATAATAACATGATGAACATAAACATAATGTAAATGGAAACAAAAAAAAACCTAACTAAAAAACAAAAAAAAAAGAACCTTTGCGGATGTTTTCTTTTTTGTTAGTTAACTTAATTACTTGAATAGTTCCCATATATGTTTGCATATCAGGTGGAAGATACGTTCCTCTGATAATCGTACCCCAAAGAAAAGCAGCACCGAAATAACCATCTGTTAAATATCCAATGTACCATGGACCTTATATAGAAAAAAAAGAGTAATTAATAAATTAGAAAAAAAAAAAAGATTTACCAATAAAATGATACAATGCTAAACCAACCAATGAATAATAAAATAAATCGATTGAACATAGAAGTACCATTCGTAAACGAATTGTATTCCATACAGTAAAACAAACGCCACAAGATTCTGAAAAATAAAATTCATTTAACAAAAATTTCATTTCATCCTTAAAAAATCTTTACCAATAATTAATTTTAAGGTCTTTTCCCCCTTCAAAAATCGATCTTCGATACAGCGCATGAGGAATGCATCTATCGAATAAAAGAAACCCGCATTTCACCAGAATGAACATTATTGATAGAAACTTGTTTGGAATCCCACAACTTATGCAAAAACCAATGTCGAGAAAAATGACCGAACGTTTTTGTATATTTACCCGAAGAATCTTCTGACATGAGCCTCAAATATAGTTATATTACGTACTAATTAAAAATTCATCAAGAGTTCGACCTGCTTTCTAGCTACACGTTAGGCTATGATACGGGACCGTAAATGTAATAGCGCTCATAATTTTCCTATAGATATGATATTGACCTTTTCGCTGAAGAACTTTAGAAACTCATTGTGAGTTTTAAAAAGGCTTTTTAATATTTGAAGTTATTCTTATGAGTTTTCCAACTAGACACCTTAGAGGTCATGTCTATATATTTATCTCAAAAAGTGTCCTTGTTTTTTAGAAAAATTGATTTTTTGGAGAGGAAAGATGTCAATTGTATTCTTTGAGATTTATAGCTTTAGCCTTATGTAAATTTTTGCAATCTTTTTTGTTCAGTATTTCTGTATATTAGATAATTTATTTTAATGAAATTGTTTTTTTGTTTTGTTTATTTTTCGACAGCATTTGTTTAGATAAAATCTGTTTGTGAGTTTTTTTCTCCAATAAACAAGCTCATCTTACTAATCCTTATTGACACAAGTTTATTATTATTATTATTTCTTTCAATGTAATCTATTTATTAATCTTATTTTTATAATCTTATTTTTTTTGATGTTTCTATTGAAACTTTGTAATTAAAATTATTATCTCTTGATAAATACTGCTTGACATCCATTAGTCAAAAAACATAATGAGATTATCAATGACTCCTACTGATTTGCTCTTTGATATTAAACATGCAATCATGACATCAATGAAGATGTTATCAATATATGATAACAGCATGCTTTCAAGTTAAATTAGAAGTCCTATTGGCTCGTTTTTGGATATTTTCTACTGAGAAAAATCGAAAAATAGTTCGGAAGGAACTGGTGATCATCTCCTGTGTTTCTCTTCTAAATCCGCCTCTGCATTAAATATTCATCTATATTAATATTAATGTTTGAAACTATATATCTAATAGAAAGTTTATCAAAATAATTAGCATATAATGACTGCTTCGTTTAAACATATATGGAATAATTGTTTTTTTTTCTTAACTGTATCTAACATTGAGTTAAAATAACTAAGTAGAAATATTCAAATTATTCTACTTACGTGTCATTCGTTTTGCTCGATATCGAAAAAATGTTAAGATAATAATATATATGCATAAAGAGATAATTATAACAACAATACCCTAAAAAGATAAAAATTTGTTTTTTTGTTTTGAAGAAAAATTTTACTGTTTTTTTTGTTTTTGTCTTACAAAAGTTGGCCAATGAGTAAGTAGAATAAATTTTGATCGAGCAAATGCTGTTATTGTTGTTGTTGTAAGAGAAAATTCATTTTCAATTTTCATTGTATTATTTTGATTATCTTTAATTTCAATTGATAATGTATGAAGATGACCATCATTATAAAAACTTGTATTCCATGGTAATACATATAAATTTTCATTATCAATTGATTCTATTGCAGTACCGAAAAATTTTGAATCAATTGAAATATTAACATTAACAATTGACCATTTAGAAAAAATAACAATTCTTTAAACAATAGAAATTTTCATTTATAAATCAATAAAATATTTTTAAATTTACCGAATATGTGTACTTTGACTTAGACGATAAAGTGGTTCTCTAGGTGTTTTAAATTTAGCTGCTTTTGGATTTGATATAACAGCATAAATTGGTTGATTAAAATTAACATCTTCAAATGATAATATACCCGAATCGATTGTTACTATACGAAATCTTTATGCAAAACAAAAAAATAAAAAAATAAATATTTCTTAAGAATAATAATGAGATTTTTACACTCAGGAGAATCATCTCAATAATCGGATTTTATATAAATTCCTGTAAGACCGACGAAATCCTATCGGAATTCGAGATGCGGAACGACATCTGGATTCCTATTGTTGGGCCCACTACATGGCTCTGACCAACCTCTACTGTTGACATTAAACACTAACTAATACTTAACTAATTAAGTAGATTTCATCCGTCGGATCCATTAGTACTTCCACATCCCGAATTCTCATAGGATTTTGTCAGTTGGTTTGATTCATTCACTTGGGTAGGTAATAATAAACGATACCAACACTTATATTTCTAACAAATACTTAAATATAATTAGACAAAATACGATAGAAATTGAAATTGCTGTAATAATCTAAAAATATCTTTTTTAAACTTATTCTTTTTTCATACTTTAGCTGTTTGAATGGTTTTTCAGAAATATAAGTGTTGGTATGTTTTTTCTTCCTAAATAATCGAATTTTACCGTCGATTATCTTTCCAATCTCCTAATTCAAGTTCAAGTAATCCATCAGAATGTCGAGCATATAAATGTTTAATACCAGAATGAAGATGACCATTTAAATAAGCAATACCATGATGCATTAATTCAGTAAGTCCACTTGAATAAGTAAATGATAAAGGATAATGACCAAAAAATATTGTTGCAGTAGAATTTTGAGTTTGTTCAGATAATTTTCTAATATTTTTCATTTCTTCCTAAAATAAAAAGAAATTCAATAAAAAATTTTTTTAGAAAGATTTTCTTCTTTACTTTGGATATATGACCAAGAAAATTAAATGGACGACCAGCACCTGGTCTTGGACACATATCAATACCGACAAATGAATAAGTATCATTATCTTTTGTTGTTAATGTATGTTGATATGAACCTTCATGTAAAACTCCTTGATGAGAATAAATACTTCAAGAGAAAAACAAAAAAACCTATCTATGTTAGATAATTTTTAAAAAAGAAAAATCTTAAATTCAATACCGATAAAGACTTCTGTTTGATTGTGGATCTGGATCCATAAATGCATCTATTAATTATAGAAAAAACAAACAATTCTTTAAAATAATTTTCAAAAAACAAATCAAAAATATTCTTACCATGATTTCCTCTCATATCAAGCCATGCTGTATATTGTGTGATATTAGTTCGATTTAAAATATCTTTATATGTAATCCATTCTTGTTCATATTGTGCAGATCCAAATGTTCGATCACGATTATGTGCTAAATCACCTATACGATGTATAAGATTATTTTTTGATTAGTTTTTTTTTTTTTTATTAGTTATAATAACCTGATACAACAGTGACGTGTGGTTTAATCAATGATTTAATAGTTTGATTACAAAATTGTTCAAATTGTTCGGTTCGATCAGTATGGCCAAAATGAGTAATATGTATATCTGTGACCTAATTCAAACATAGAATTTATCATTTTTTTGATATATAAATGACAAGAGATAAAATAAGAAAAAAACAAACAAATAATAATTACATGAACAAAATAGAATAAATGTTTGGCAGTGCTGCCAAGATATTCATCGGAGGGTACATCATTTAATGATTTAATTTGTTGAATGTGAAGAAAAAAAAGAAATAAAAAATAGAAAAATGAAAACATCATTGGAAATGATTAAAATCTAAAGAAAAAATATTTTAATTTTTTCATTGTATTCAAAATATTAATAAGTTGTTGTAAATGAAATCTTTCTTTTAATATTCATCCCTTTTTTTTTTTTTTTTTAGTACGCAAAATCTAATTTAATTTTAATCTAATCGGAATTGTAGCTGGTCCGGTCCAAAAAATCTTTTGGATCATTAATATTCGAGTTATTGTTAAACTCTAAAACTTTTCAAATGAACATAACGTTTTTTTTCAAACGACAATTCAAATCTAAATTTGATCTTTACCACAATAGTTTAGTTCAAGTAATAAAATTTTGATTCTACTTTTTAAAAATTAAAAGATACTTCGATTAAAGAAATAAAAATAAAACTAATAGTTCTTGAAACAATATTATTTGATTATTTTGATAAGAACAAACAAACTTGTTCTCAATAAGTTTTATTAGAAAACAAAAGCATATCTATCAAATATTTTCCAACCGGAAAAAAATCAGTGAAAATCGATCGAACAAGATCGGTTACAATTTTCTCATTCTGATTGTTCTATTTTCTTTGCTTTGATATATATGACATGTTTAATGAGAAATTATTTTTAGAATAGATATAATAACAAATATGTCATTTTTAAAGACTTAATAAATAATTTCTTGTTTCATTTGTTCGTCTATTCTTTTCTTTACTAATACTTTTTCAATAAAAGACATTAGAAGAATACAATGATTATTTGTTTAATATTTCTCAAATGATAAATGTAACAAGATCATAAGTCTCAAAATACTTTTGTCGTATGTAATTAGTTGAATAGACATGTTGGTTAAGTGTTTGTTGTTTTTTTGTTTTGATTTTTATAATAAAAGATGTATAAAGAAAATATTAGTTAAAGATAGAGAATAACTTCATTGGTGTATCGGTTCTTCATTGGCTTAATTCTCTTTTTTTCTTTCTTTTTCTCTCTCTCTCTCTCTCTCTCTCTGAGATATTTTCTCTAAACCAGCAAATAAAAAGTACTCTCTAAATATTCTCAATATTTAATATAATCACAATTTTTATCATAACTAACTTATATTGTTTTCTTTTCTTCGTATTACAATGATCTATCGTTCAATATTCGCGTTTACTTTAATTATAACTCTTTTTGTTTACACATTAAATGCGATAAGTCCTTCATATCTTCAACAACATCATTATAAAAAATTATTGATTCCCAATATTATTGGTTTTGATTATCAAAGTCTGCCTAGTATTATAGAACAAGATAATAATGATGATGATGGCGAAGGAATTAGTGATGATTATACTTTAAGACGTAATATATTTCGAAATTTCCATTTAAGTCCATTATGGTTATCACGACGAACACGTGCAAGTCGTTTTTATGCAACACCATTATGGATTTCTCGAACTGGACGGTAAAAATAAAATAATAAAAGGGGTATTTTCTTTTTTTTTTTTGCTGAATTAAAATATCCAATGCTGTTGTCCATCATTTGTCTTGTCTTTGTTGTATAATTGAAATTTATCTTTATAAATTAAAAATAAAAACAAAAAGAAGAAAAGATAAAGAAAAATGATGTGACAATTTGGATATAAATAAAAATTTATTTAACAATTTTAACTATTTTATATACTCTTATTAGAAGTTTATGTTGATGAGTCATAAGATAATTTATATACATCATCAACATGTTTCGTTTCTTTAGAAAATAAAAAGTCTGATTATCATTTTTCATCATCATCAATTTTATGGCTTTAGAAAATCATATTCGATTAAAATACATTATAAATGATGATAAAAATTTTTATTCTTAAGTTTAATATAAAAACGACATATATACTCGAAAATGCTCTGTAAACATCAAGAAGAATCCAATAAAAAAAGTAAACTTTTAAGCAAAAATACGATGACGATACACTCCAGTAACTACCTGAGATGAAAACTGTATTATGTCATCACTTAACCAATGAAACCAGTGATAAATTACTGTTCAATAAATATCATTTGTATTTCATTCATTTGTATAGATTTAGAGATTTTTAAATGATTGAAAAGATATTTTAAAGAAAAATAAATGAATTAGAATAAGCTCGAATATTCAATATCTGACGACATCTGTCATAATTATTTATAATTCTTTGCATGCTTCCAGATTTGCATCTCATCTTTGTCATTTTTTTTTATTACCAAAGGTTAGACTTGAGTCATTATTTAAATAGCTGGAAAAATATAATTAACTAGTAAATGGAAACTATCTGATCTATGATTATTAATACAAAGTTTTGAAAATAATGGAATTATGTTGTTCTGATTGCTATTGTTGTTCTAGGCTATTATTTAGATGAAAGTGGCATGTATCACTTAAGAAAAGCGTGGGATGTAACGTCTTTCTATTTGTCAGAATTTCTAATATTGAACATCAATAATAATGTTTTCAAACATTCATTTCTCTTCATAATCAATGGACAACAATATATTTATCATCCAAATGATCCTTTCTCTTGAGTATTATGTACTATAACAAAATATAATATTTGTTGGTAATGTTATTACTATCTCTTCTCGAATTAAAGCTTTACTAAAAAGAAATGAATGAGCTTTGTTTGAAAGAAGTTGATGATGTTCATCCTAGTGAAAATACTCATCAAACGAGTACGACTTGCTAGCGTGACTACTCAAATTACTCGCACGAGTACTCGAGCATTTATATACATATATTTATACTTTTCGTGTACTACAGCGAGTACTCATATGAATTATTTCTTTAAGATTTACTCCCACACAAAAACGTGAGTACTCAAAATAGTACTCTCTTCGTTGTTCTCACAATGTTTAACAAAACACTTATGCATTAACATGTATGAAAAAAATAGAATAAGATTGTGTAATAGAGAAAAATGAAAAATAGGAAAGAATTACTTTAGCGACTTAATCCTCCTTTCTTTTCTGATGATTCATTCGTATTGCTTTAATGAATGATCGTTTCAGAAATAGAAAAACGACTTTTTCATTTTCAATTGTTCATTCATCGAGTAACATTAAATATTGATTGAAATATATAAACAATAATTCGTTCAATTTCATTTCCTAAATTTTAGATAAAATATTCTTCTAGATCAATAGACAGTTTTTTTCAGATTGATTGTAAAAATTAATGAAACAAAAGTCGAATAATAGTTTTTGATACAAATCGGTTAGAATTCAATGTTCTGAGGGCATGTGCATCAAATCAAAAACAATTTTTCATATTTTATTTATTTTTTTACGTATTATTATGTTCAATCTAGCTATGAGTGTACAATGTGAGTTTGTTTTTTTGTAATGATCTATATATAGTATACGTTTGTTGTTATTGTATATTTTAATTTCATCAATAATTTATTATCCCACCTCCTCACTGATGTTGTATTGTTCTCAATACTTATTTTACTCCTTCTCTATGTTCTAAAGATGAAAATTGATCTTTATATTTTGTATAACAATAAGATTGACGTCATATAGCATATTTAGTTCTCAATTTTCATGTTTGTCTCAAATTTTCATAATGTATGACTATATCTTTTGTTATTAATTGTATGTTGAAATAAAGTAGATAGAGTACAATTGCACTGAACAGAATATAAATCTATGAATATTTTAAATAAACCACTAAAATACACAAAAACGGTATATGAGTACCCAGAAAACACTCAAAATTATATGGCGAGTGCCCGATAGTCGCACTCAGATTTTAGCATGAGTACTAGCGATGAGTACTCAAAAACCCCCGAGTACTCATGAGTACTCGCAGTATTTTCTAGCATGAGTACTTTTTGAGTACCCTCTTGATGAGTACGTTCATTAGGGTACGGTGTGATTTATTGGAACGATGTAAGAGAGTTTAGTAATGATATACTTCATTTTGATATAATTTATTGATTGTCCATATCTCTAAGTGAATACCTATTTAATCCTTAGAGCTATTTAAAGATTATTAGCACTAATTAATGAATATTTATAGCTATTTAATAAATACTCAGCTACTTATTTATTCTATCTGATTGATTTCAAGCAAGAAATGCCAATCTGTTGTTGTTTTAGTTTTCAATAACAATGATTTATTAATAGAATGAGAAGCACAACATTTTATATAAAACTTCACGGACTTTTTGTTTACTTTCTCGACATATAATTCGAATTGTTATTTTGTGTAGCGATGATCTTTAGATCAGAGAATCATAGGATTTTCTTTCAAACGGTATTACAAAATTATATGTTCCCGTACGATCAATTTTGTTTTGAAACTTCGATATGAAATTCTGTTTGTTCTCATCATATCTAATCAAGCATCCTGAACTAAATCCTTACAATATTTCATACTTCGTAAAATGTAAATTTAGATTGATTAAAGCTTTTAAATGGAATAGATAAAGTCAAATGAATTTTGAAGCAAAACAAAATCGTATTTTATGCTATACAGTGCTTCGAAAGTCAATTTTTCGAGGCTTAAATGTTGGCATAGAAAAAAAAAATATTCTGCGGATGGATAGAAGATAACTCAAAGTATCTATAGCGATGAAATATTAAAAATCGAAAAAACCTTGGTTTTCACATGCGGAAAGGAGAGAGGATTCTATTAAGGCCGCAAACATTTCTATAGCTTATCTATGAGTTCCAGTTGCACTGTACTAATTAAAATGCCTGACCAATTCGTTTAAATTTCTTAATCTTCTTATTACATTGACTATAGATAGTTGATAGTTAACATATTTATAAGAAGTGCATTTTTATAGGTATCTTGGGTACTATTTAAAATATTTTGAACAAGAAAATGACGTACCACTTGAAATTATACTCGGATCATATCCGAAATAGAGCAGTCGGAAGTGGCTGTCCTAAAGGACGCCGACAACCGGCTGCGAGTTGTCTGTTGAGGTTTATATTAGAAAAATCTCGATTGCAAGGTTTAGTCGGTTTATAAAATGGTCGTCTCTGTCAATATTTTAAACAGTTCTTTTGTATGACCATGGGTATTCAACGATAGTTCAGCAAGTCGTGACGACGAGCGTTACTTGTATTAATAAACTTAACATATCGATAACTCACCTTGGCTGTCGGTAGCCACCAGTCTTGTTTTTAGGCCTATCTCCAATCAACACGACATTAACGCTTATAGACACGGAGAAGAATTAGTTAAAATGTATTAATGTAAAACATACTTCCTAGTTATTTTGGAGGTTGGAATGTACGTTCATGATTTCGACGTTCAGAAAAACGGTAACGTTTTTCGTATTTTCCGAAAACGAATCATTCTAGAAATGTTAGCATAAGAAAATACTATGAGGCTAAAATCATGAAGTATATTGAACATTTTCAAATACAAAATTGAGAAGAATTAGGTTAGATCGTGATAGATGGCAATACGAGATCAACAAATTAGTACGAGTTAGACCAGTGTATAAAAAGATAATAGAAATTGTATACGATTATGAAGATCGAACAAAGAAAAGTAGAACAGAAGAATTAGTGATGTTTCGTGAAATGGTCCAATGAAAAGTAATAGAAAAATGAGGTACCTTTGATGTGTTTTACATTAATAAATGAACAGAGAAATCTAACACGTTTACTTTCTCTTGATTTCGAAATTCTATGTAGTGTGTACCTTATGATGCGATTCTCACCTTATACCGAAAGATGATGAGTATGACTGAATAATATTATTGTTAAAATATTTTGTTTTTTAATATGTTGATTGAACCATTTTTAACATAGCGAGAAACAACAAAACATATTTCTTGAATCGCTCCAATTTTATCTTTTTATTATAACTATTTAAAAAAAAAGTCTTGATTTTACTACGTGTCTAAGTTTTCTTTTCTAAGCATCTTGAAAAATCTTTGCAAAAAGACTCAAGTCAGTCAAGTAGACATTGTTTATTAGAATCAACCGATCCGTTTGATCCAATGTTCGATTCCTTGATTAATTTCGTTCGGTTTTTCTTCCATCAACCAATGACCAGCTTCTAATTCAACCACTTCTAAGTCAGCAATATATTGTTTTTGACCGGCAAATAGAGCAGTTACACAGACAGAATCTTTTGTTCCAGTAAAGAAAAGAACTGGACATTTAATTATTGGATCGAGATTCTTCTCATCATCCCAATTGATGTTTTCAATAGCTGCTTTGTACCAATTCAATTTTGGTTGCATTCCTTCAAGAAGATTTTCACGAAAATTTCCATAGTCATCTTCAGTCATATATGAAGCTCGTATTGTGCGTTGTCCGTTCATCAACCATTCTTGGACTTTACCTACGGGAGCAAAATTAATTTTCTTTTCTCCTGAATTATTTGAAAACAAAAGATCAATAAAACTATCCACATTATTTTCAATAATTGTTGCTGCATCATCGGATTCAAAAAATTTCCAATAACCAAAAT